ATATATATATATATATTTATTTATTATATGTGATAAATTTATTGCAAATATATATTTATTATTTATGATACATTTATTAATAATACATAATATGATACATTTATTAATACATTTATTGCGAATAAATTTTGTTGTCAAATAAAAATTAATAGTATTGTAAAACATATAGTTAGGAGAGATGTAATAATTTTTTTTATCATTCTTTTTAGCTATTTCATTTGGATGACTATGAACTGGCTTTATTACGACATGGTTACTGTCCATTTTGCAGAACAGTGAATAAAATTTCAAATTAGTACTTTTTATTAATTTAAATTGTGATTTCATGTTTACTGTGATAAATTATAAATTTAACTTAAGTTAATTTAATTTAGATAATCTATATTGAGACCAGTGTAGACGAATGTCATTGATGTAATATCGTCAACATTGTACGAGTCGGCAATTTTGTATTTTGAATAGCAAGATTGTATGCTGCATAAAATTGCTTGTTGCAACATGCTATATAAAATGCATTTTGCGATGATTATAGCGATTTATTTGCACTAAACTTATATTCTACTCGCTTTTTTACTTGTATTTTAGTACATACTATTTTCTTTAATAATTTGACTTTAATAATTACAATTCTCTTTTTTAATATATATTATATTATCAGTTGATTATATTTAATGAAATTATTTAGAAATTAAGATTAAGATGATAAAATTAATGATAAGATTATTTAATATATATTTTATCGTATGCTTTGTGAATCCAGTTATATAAACATCAATAGATAGTAAGTTGGTTTTCATTTACACGCTAATTGTTCTGATTTCTTAAGTACCGTTGAACGAAATCGTCAGAAGAATTGAGCGTTTCAACAGTTACAATTTGAAAGATGTTGCGCGTGGTGTACTTGACAGTTTTTCTTTTTATAAATATCGTTAGTTGTCAGTTGGATGATGATAATATCACGGAAATTCAAAATTCGGTATCTCGCGGCAGATGTAAGTAAACAGAAAAATGAATGAAATAGCTTTTAATGTATTGCACTTGAAAATAATGTTTTATAAAATACAATTGATACTTCAGAATAAATTATATATTTATTTCTGTTATATGGCTTAATATAAATACTCATGTCGTATAAAACTAATATTAAATTATGAAATTGATTTTTACACAGTTTTCCCGCTATTCAGTGTTATTCGATTTGCGAACTCCCAGTGCCTTGCTAGCAACAATTTAAATGGTACCTGTTTTACTAGAAGAGAATGTCGTAATTACGGTGGGACACCTTCTGGTAGCTGTGCAAATGGACTTGGTACTTGCTGTGTTTGTAAGTAATTAAAAAATTTAAGTTGTTTCTTGTAAAATTTAATGAATTCATTTAAAACTAATGTTTATAGTTCAGAAAACGTGTAGTTCCACAACAAATGTAAATAATACATATTTTACAAATCCGGAATATCCAACAACTTACGAGGGACAAGGAGGATGCACAATAACAGTACAACGTTGCAATTCAAATATATGCCAAGTGAGCAATCAAAATATGTTTAAACCTTCAAATTCATAATGTTCTTATACAAATTATTATTTGATTGAATTAAATATTGATTAAATATAAAACTACTAAAAAATAGGATTAACATTTTCTTATAAGAAGTTATATAATTATTATTATTTATTGATAAACTTATATAATTGGTTTTAGTTGCGCTTGGATTTCTTGGAATTTAGTCTTGCTTCACCAAACGCTAATGGAATTTGTGATTTTGATCATCTTTCAGTTTCTGGATCTGGAAGTACAATACCTCGAATTTGTGGGGAAAATGCAAATCAACATGGTAAATAAAATTATTAACAGTAATTAGATACAAATGTCAATTGCCTTTTACTAAATCATAAATTTAATATGCTTGATTTGAAAGAAGTCAATTGACATTTGTAAGAACATCTTGTCTAAAAAAATTAAACTTATAAATTATGAATAACAAAATAATTAATAATTATTAGAAAATGGAAATTATTCAGAGTATTCTAGATTTATAAATTAATTATTAATGATACTTATAATACTTAATACTAATCAATCCTTTTATTGATTTAAATTTTTCAGTATATATAGATTTCAATGGCGATACGCCTATTATGATATCAATTGATACTGATCCTGAGTATGCTACGGATCGTCGTTGGAATATAAGAATTCAACAATTACCTTGCGATTCCACGTATAAAGGCATGTACATTACAAACTGCTTCTTTTAAGTAGATATTGTATTCCGTAATTAATATTTGAAACTTAAAAAAGTTTGTCTTTCATATAAAAAAGTTTTTAATTTATAAACTACAAATATTTTTGTCATTTTAAGATATAAATAATCAATTGTTAATTTAACAATTGTATTCAATTACATTGAATATTAAAGCATTTTAAGTTAATAATTTTAAACATTAAATTCTTTTCGCAGCACCAAATGGATGTTTACAGTATCATGACAGTGTTTCGGGTACTGTAACAAGTTTTAATTATGGCACAACACAAAATCCAAGAGGTATCATGTCTAACAAAATTTGTAAAAATTACATAGCAGTTAACTTATTTATTCGTTAATAATGTATTTATTTACATTATTACTATTTATATAATAATAATATATAATAAAATATTTGATTATTAACTATATTATTAATTCCAATAATTATTATTTTATATATTAATAATCCAATATTCTTTAGCACCAGTAATAGGTACACGGCAAATCGCAAATACAAATTATGGTGTATGTGTCAGAATGGCCCAAGGATATTGCGCCATTGAATGGTTTCAAACAAATTCAAATTCATTTACTGTTTCTGGAGATACTGGTGCATTTGATTTTGCCATAATAGGTAAAATGCATTATGATGATTACTTATTAATAATAATTACATCAACAACAGTAAGATAATTATAGTATTAGAAAACAAGGCAAAATACTTGAACATTTATAGAAATAGATAATAACATAATATATTCATAAAAATTTTCTTAATAAATATTAGAATACTTTTGATCTATTAATTTTTTGTTACGTTAGGTTACATTGTTTCCATCATTTAAAGCAATAGAGTAATTATAATAAGTAATTGTTTTTGTAATCATCAAACTAATGAAACATATACTGTACATATAATTAAAGAAGCATGCATTGTAATTGAAATTAATTTTTTGTTTTTTTAAACAATCTTTTTTTAGATGAAAATAAATATTTCTATAGTATTGATTACTTTAATTACTTATCGATTAAATAGGTGCTGCGGCTGCAGCACAACAAGGAGAAGATTGCAAAAAAGACTATGTTATTATTCCAAATCCATTTGCAAATGGTGTCGCACTTGATACAGAACGATTTTGTGGTAATGGTTTTGTAACAAAAACATGTAAGTATATAATATTTAGTATCTTTCCGATTTTTGTACAAAATTTACAAGAAAATTATGTATTACTCTGTGTGTTTGCTGTAGTGAATCATATATGTAAAATAAATGTACAAAATATACATGTGTATAATGCGTAATGACATAAATTAATAACTTCTTTTTTTTTTAGCTTTTTCCAAACCATTTGTACTATATGTTATCACAGATAGCGATGAAATAGGAGAAATTGAAAATAAAGGATTTTCATTAACATATCGTCAGATACCTTGTGCACCTTAAATAAAAAAGTATGTTCTTGTTTCATGTACATATGATATAAACATTTTACACATTATAAGACATAATAATCAATATTTAAGACATTTATTATTTCGTATAAAATTAGTATTTTTTTAAAAATGAAACAATCATTAATCATAGTAAAATTAATCGTAATGAATGTAAATTTATATAATTATTACATACGTTTATGTAATTATATAAATATTAATATTAATTATGAACAAGTTCTTCAGATTTTAACGATATCAAATTTATTCCATTAATTTTTAAAACTACTTATGAATTTATATCTATTTTCAACTCAAGAATAAAAAAAAATTTAACAATTGGTAACGTTTTTATAATATAAATCGTTTAAAATATAATTGTATAAATTATTCTATTTCTAAATTTAGTATATTTTATCATAAAAATTTATATACAGCAGAAAAATATATATATAATTTTATTTTAATAAAATATTTAATTTCTTTTAAGCATTTCAATGATATTTTATTGCACCAAATTTTGGCATTATTAAATCAATATTTTCATTTCTTGTTTGAGCTTCTTTTGAAAATAAAATACTTAGATATGTCTTAAACCTAATTTGAAAACTTTACTATAATAAAAGTACATTAGTTTTATCAATTTGACTTAAAGATTTTCTTTATTTGCTGTTCTTTCTTACGACCATCGTTGTCGGTAAAATACAAAGAACTTGAAGAATTTTTTTTTTTGTGTATCAAATTGTGTATATTATTATTATTTTTTATTATTATATTTTATATTCTTCTTATATTAAATTAGTTTTATTAGTCATATATTTTTTAATTTTTACATATTTACAAAATTTATTATCCGAAACATATCTTATTTCTTTTTACTGTAGTAATACTAATATGAAATGACACAAAATTTAACTTTATTTAAAATTTAACTATATTCAAAATGATACAATTATAAACAAATTATAATCTTAATAAAACTAATGTAAACAATACTTATTATTTAGCCATTAAATATTTACTTCCTAAATGTTCTTTTATTTCCTTCGTCATGGCATTATACCATGTGCTAAGTGTTGTATTATTTAAAGCATCTTTAAAAGCACTGCAACCTTCTATACTTTTCAGAACTCCATATACAGCAAGATCTGATAAATTAGGTTTTTCTCCTCCCATAAATGTACCACCGCGTTTTTTAATAGCACGTAACCACTTGTTAATTCCATCGTACAATGATTCTCGAACATCATTTTTTAAATTATGCTTCTTTTTTAATCGTTTCGATATTAACCACATAGCTGTAGCACCTATGTTTATCATAATTAATCTTTCCCACGTTGGAAAATATTCTTCCCATTTACCAACCTAATTGATTAAAGAAAAAGATAATTTCTTTTTATTCTAGCCTTTTTTAAAATTCTTATATCCACATTACAATTATTACATTTTTTTGTTTGATTATTCAATTTATTATTATTATGCGTAATTGTCATAAAACTACTTACTTCAGAAAACCAATTGAAAGTTTTATAAGCTTCATCAAGTGTTCTGTATACGTTAGGTGATAGCGTATGCACAAATTCATCATCAACCCATTTTCTCCACTTACGCTCCTCTCTAAAATAATATATTAATTAGTAAAAATATAAAAGTTTTATCATTTGTAATCAATCTACTTCACCATGAGAAGATTAAAGATTATTTTTTATACAATGAAACTCACATGATCTCATCTGTTTTTGTAGAAAAATTTTCTTGATACATCAAGAAATATTTGTTCATAATTTCATATTTCAATTTTTGATTTTCATCGTGTATCGCTATACTTGGATAATAGTCTACTAAATCACTAATTTTTTGAGATTTATCTTTCAAATATGACGCTAATAAGGAAATAATCATTGAACTATCGTTTAAAGGTTGATATCCTGAATCTACTTCCGCTAAAAGTATTGGTACTTTCTTATAAGTTGACCAAGATATTTCCTTTCGTAATACAGGATCAACCTCCACGATCTCATAAGATATTCCATAATAATCCAAGAAAGTTCTGACCTAAAACAGTTTCACATTTATAATTAATGCATTTTATAAAAATAATAATATATTATTTAAAAGAAAAAGAGTAATTAAAATTTAAATAGTAAGCTTTACATTTACATCTTTACTCGAAGAATATATTGCGATTGATTATATTTTCTTTAATTTGGTACTTATTAAAAAAATAATAAATATGAATATTTTACCTTACAACAGAAAGGGCAAGTCTGATATTGATAAAGAGTCAACTTTAAGTCTGTAGTATCCATTGGAGAAATAACCTACCATGAAAATGAAATGAAGTGGCATTTTGATACATAAGGAACAAATCAATTTGATATTAAATTGTAAATTAAATATATACAAATCAATGTATAAAATTACCTCTCTAGAAACTGGTACTGGTGGTTTTTCTTGAAGTATTTTAATTTTCTCTTCTTTCCCTTGAAGATGATATGTTTGTGAAGCTTCCTTATTTTTGTACCAAGTGTATCCTTGTGTGATAGCTATACCAACTGGAAATCCGACAGAAATCCCTACTAAACTTGCTTTAAATACAGTTTTTAATATTGAAGATTGTCGAGACGCCGATAAAACACTCTCATTTCGTTTTGGGCATCTTTGAATAACATTTTTCAGACAATATAAATTTTGAGGATATTTTGACAGTCTTTGTAATATAGACATCGTACAATATTTATTATATATATATTTTTTAAATAAATTGTTACTTTAAGCAAATAACTGCACCTTTCAATAATGTAACAATTGTAAAAGGAGTATGCATCCAAATTATAGGATATGTGATTTGTAATGAACTTTACAAAGTAAACATTAATCACATTTAATTTTCATTTTAATACATAATGTAGAAAACATCGATTATGATTAAAAACTATTTGATACAAACTTGTATTCTTGTTAATTAAATGTAGAACTAATATCATTCATCACTTGCATTGACTTCGATAAATAATTTATTATTTTTATAAATTGTTTACTTTTTAAAATATTTTAGTATTACACAGTTATATCATACATTTATAAATTACATGTAGGAAAAAAATTCATATTTAATGTTCTATTTTAAACAAGCTAGTTTTTTCTTATTTATGAAATAAATATGTAACACTACCAGTGAATTAACTGATTATAAATTTTTATTTATTTATATTGATAATTGACTTTCGTTTGTGTATTATTAAATTTTTATTATGAATAAATTTTAAAGGTTATGTAACGTACAAGTATACGTAATACGCAAGCGTGACGATAGTCACGACTGTACTATCACGTGAAAATGTACCTTCAGTGAATCACATTGAGTGAGGCACATAAGTTGTCATTGTACCTCGGTCATTTAGATATTATCCGTAGATAAAAGAAATGGAAACTGTAAAATTTAATGTAAACTATTGAATCGAATAAACATGATATCGAATATCATATATGAATCGAATAAACATTTTTAAATAATACATATTCGTGTGTTTACGTATATAGCTTGTTAATTTATATAAACTTAGCTGGACTAAGTATGAAATGAAAACAAAATTAAGTTTTAAATTTAGTTTTACTTTAAGTATTAAGATAATATCTATTAATGTTGAAAGAAATTAATTCACAGATGAGGTGTTTGTGTAAGAAAAATAGACAAACTTAACTTTAAATGACCTAACCTTAAAGTTAATTAATTTCTGATATATTAATGAAAAAAGATTAATAAAATATTCAATATGGTAATTAAAATTGACATTCAATTTAATTTTAATTTTTTCATGCATTATTAATATTTAAATATAAACATCAAAAGAAATGAAATAATTTAGTGACTTTATTGTATATATTTTGTATATATTTTTGTATATATATTTACATGTAGTCTATGTAGTTGATGTAGTAATGTATATAGTAATATATTTACATGTAGTCTATGTAGTTGATGTAGTAATGTAATGTAATAATGAAATAAGAAGTTACAGTAAAAAAATAATAAATTTTCAGCATGGCAGAGTAAAAGTTCGAACAACTGCTGAGCAGGAAGCATTAAAGAAGAAGGAAAGGGCTGAAAAACTTTCACGTTATAGAATTGGCATGAGCATTGTGTTTAAAAAAGTAATTTCACAAATACAACAGTTAATACCACATTATAATATTAATCATATTTATAATTTCATAGAGTTAAAGAATAAGTAACTGAATTAATATAAAAAAATTAATGTAAAATGTAAAAAAAAGAAATTAGTCAAATTTACTAAAATTTAATTATTTAATTCTGTATATTATAGAGGAAAGATAAAATTTATGACGAAGAACTGATGATGGTTACTGAACGTATGGTATTACAAAATCCAGATATCTATACTTTATGGAACATTCGTAGAGAGGCATTTACAAATAATGATTGGTAATTATACAAAAATAATAATTTTAATGTTTTACTACTAAATTATTAATGATAATTTAAACTCTAGCATTAAATAATAAGTAAATTGTTTATATTGTTTAATATTTTATTAATAAATTATTTGTTATTATATTTATTATGTAATAATATAAATATTATAAGTATATATAGGGTGTTCAATGATCAAACTACAAAGGCTTGATCCATGCATAAAAAAAAGAAAATATTTGAAGAAAATGTATAAAGCTTATCCAAGGAAATGCCTTGTTACAGAGTTGTAAACAAATATTGTGTGAATATGAAAAAAATAGCTATGCATTTTCCAATAAAGCACACAGAAGATCGACTGTATTTATTTGATTTGTGTAGATACATTCTTTAATGTCCTTATATTATATTCTAATTTCTAATGCTAACAGTTAGTATCAAATTATTATTTAAAGTAGCATCTTACATTAAAATATCCAAAATATTTACTAGTGAAGAATGCTATCTATTTCATACATAAATATTTGTTTATTAACTCTGTTACAAGGCGTTTCCTGACAAACTTTATACAACATTTCTCTCTTTTTTTTATATGTAGATTAAGCTAAGTTATAGTTTGGCAGTTTAAGTCCCATATACCATGTATATATATTGTTTATGTAAGGTTCAAGTAGGAAAATTTCTAACATAAAATAATAAATTTTATAGGTATTATATAAGTAGCATGTTTATCATTTCTTAAATTTACTAGTCATAAGCAAAATCTAACATCAATATATGAGCTTTATATAATATGCAATATAACTAAAAACAGGGATGAAAAGCTTTTAGAGGAGTTTTATCAAAATGAATTAAGACTTACTGAAAATTGTTTGAAACAAAATCCTAAATCTTATTGGGTATGGTATCAACGGATATGGATTACAAATCATTTAACAAAATGTAATTGGAAAAAAGAACTAATGCTATGCACTAGATGTCTAAATTTAGATGACAGAAATTGTGAGTCACTAATGTTATTAAATATTTTATTTTTATTATTCGAAAAGTAGTAAACATAAATATTATTTTTGGTTCATTTTAGTTCATTGTTGGAATTATAGGGAATTTGTTGTACAAAAAGCAGGAATTTCTCCTGAGGAAGAATTTGAATTTGCTACCTCAAAGATTTTAAATAATTTCTCTAATTATTCTTCCTGGCATTACAGGAGCCTACTGTTATCAAAAATGTTTCATAATTCTGACCAAAATGATATTGATGAAAAAAAGAAACAGGGTATTTGCAATTATAAAAGATACAAATACTTTGAGATTATTTTATAATATGCAATAACAAAATATTTCTTCCTTTTAGAATTAGATTTGGTAATGAATGCTACATTCACAGATCCTAACGATTCTAGTGCTTGGTTCTACCAAAGATGGTTATTAAATACTCATGAATGCCTTCCTATACTTTCTCAAGTTTTAGTAAAAAGTGATAATGTGATCCTTTTTACTAATAAAAATATATCAACTGAGTCAGTATATTTAAAAGTAAATAATGAAAATGAAAATGTGCAATGGAAATCCTTGCAACAAACAAAGATTTCGAAATTATGGTTTGGAAAATTAAAGAAACAGTTAAATGAAACAAACAATGTTCAGATCGAAATTAAAGGAACATTTTATCCTTTGTTTTACATTAATCAAAAGTGGATATATAAAAAAAGAAAATATAAATTTTGCTCTAATAAAGATCAATTATTAGAACAATTATCAAGTTATAAACAGCTTATAGAAATGGAACCTAATAATAAATGGGCTTATTTAACCAGCATTCTTTTAATGAGGAAAATTGATTTTATAAAATTTTATGAAAATATTTTAACAAATTTGAATGTTCTTGTTAATATTGATTCTCTTCGATCTAATTACTATAAGGATTTACGTAAGTATACTTACCAAATAGAATATAAAAATCGAATAATATATATATATATATATATATATATATATATATAACATCTTATGACATATACATATTACATATGCATGCAGAGTATTTTTAAATTAAGATCCTTAAGCTAACATCTAAATATTTTCTAGCTTCAATGATATTGAAGTGTTAAGGCATAATGTAAAGTAATTAAAAAAAAAATCCAAAACAATGAATATTTTGTTTATAAAATTTGAGACTGATTATAATGTTATTACAAGTAATTCGTAGTAGAGAAGATAATATGTTCTGTATTTGTCACTTAATGCAAATGGGATGCATAGGCTTTGCAGAAATTAAAAAAAAAACTAATAAAAATAGAGATACTCATTTTATTATTCCAAAATAATAAATAGCATAGATTAAACAATATTAAATTTTGTCATATTTCTTTTATTCTTCTGATTTTATAGTGATAAATTATCAGTGTAAACTTTAAACATTTAGATAATTTTTCGAAGAATTCTTTGGTTGTAGTCTTTTTCGAAGTATTCTTTGGTCTACATAAGTTAATAAATTAGATTAATAAATCTCATAAGTGCAGTAAAATTTGATAATTGTTGAAAAGAATATATAAAATCATGTTAACATAAATTTGATTAAATTATAATAATTAATTAACTGATAATTATTTTAATTTAAATATTAAATAATTAATTTTTTTTCAGGAAGCAAATATATAATTGAGTACAAAATATATGAATTATGGAATGCAGAAGAAGATCAGGAAATAAAAACAGAAATTGATCTCTCTGGATTAAACTTAACCACGCTTAATAATAATGAACATTTCAGTTTCTTTGAACAAATAAATCTCAGTGCAAATTATTTATCAGATTCATTACATCAACTATTTATATTGCAAAGCTGTACAAAATTGTCACTTTCGAGTAATCAAGTGGAAAATTTGAAGAAGTTTCCTACATTGCAAAATCTTGAAGTTTTATTATTAAGAAATAATAAGTTGAATAATTTAGAAGAAATATTACAATTACTAACAAGACATAAATTGAAGTTATTTGATTTAAGAGAAAATCCAATTTGTAATACTAAAGAATTACAAACTAGTATAGCGCAAATCAGTCCAGACTTACAACTGTATATATAGAATAATTTTCATAATATATATATATATTGATAATAGGATGTTATTGTATGTATGAAGTGCAGTATAGGGCCAATACATAAATAAAAATCTAAAATGAGAAACTTATTATCTCTTTTGTAGCATTTACATTTTTTCTTGTGTATAACTGGTTTTCAAATTTAAATAATTTTTGGTACATTATGTTTTCAATTATTATTAAAGTATATGAAAATATTATTAACCCTTTAACTCCCTGTCACGGTGTTGTAGCTAAAGCAAATGCACGATTGGTCAGTTTCATTTATGAATGCTCCGCAGTCAAAGGGTTAAAATAAGTACAACAAAATATAAAATGTGTGACTAAAATATTTTAATTATTTTTTGTTCTAAAAATATTTAAGTTTTTAATTCTTGTAACTACATTATGCTGTAAATGTACAAATTTTTATTTTTAAATGTAATTTTCATGAATAATACATGTGTATTATATGAATAATACACATGTACATACATTTCCTTTTGAAATTACATTTAAAATATTTTGAATGTTTCCTTGATAAATTTACTTTTCATTCCCAATTTAGTTTAATTTATTCTATATTGTTAAATTGATATATGTACCAATAAAAAAAAAGATAAACTGTTAAGATCGCAGATTCTTTTGCTGAAAATAAAAAAAAAAGATGGAATTTTTATATAGTTTCATTATCCTTAAGTCTAAAAATGTTCACAACTTATCAAATCGATATAAGAGTAATATAATACTATTATTTTGTAAGTAATAATACTTTTACGAAAAAAAAAATTTTACAAAACATTACATAATGATTGAAAATCATCATTTTGTTTAGAAGAACTCGAGCACGCTTGTGAATTTTATATTTTCAAAAAATATATCATTAAGTATTACAAGTATATTAATTAAATATATATATACAAATATATAATTTCGATTTGCTTTCATTTTAAAATGTCTTATTGTTAGAAAAACTTCTTTGCAATATACGTATATGTAAGTATATGTAATATGATATTGATAAATGTACTTTGCGGAATTTATCTTTCCCGCGCATAATGATGCGCGTGTAACAAAATTTGAAATGTATGTACATTTGTTGCATTGAAATTTGGTTCTACTTTCACTGATATTCGAGTAAATACTTCAACGTATTTTTGTATATATACTCGACGATTTTGTCTAATATTTCTATTGCTTATTATTTTATTACATATGTACATATTTCTACAAATTGCTGTGTATAACACATAAATGACAAAAAAATAATAACGATGAGGATAACAATAACATCGATATTAATGAGTAATGATTATATATATCATATTAAATTAACAACTGTGAAATGTTAGAAATTACTATTCGTAAACACGTAATAATTGGCACTTAAGTGTCATATATATAACGCCACTCTGCTCGATATATTTATAATTTTTAATTTACCGCTTGTATGAAAGCCAATCAATAGGAAATAAAACGGTTCTGGCGAAGAGCGTACTATTGCTGAACGCAGCTCTCGCGTTGTTTGGATTGCCATTCGATTTATTTATTCTCTGGTATTCGATATGGCGAACAATATGGCCCATCAATCGTTAAAACACTTCTGAGCATACCCTCTGCCAAAGGATTCGGATCTTTCTCGGTGATACAATGATTTGCTTCGACGTAATTCTATCATCCTGTTTTACCGCTATTAGTATGCGTACCTGATACCTCATGATATCCCGTGTAGGTGAAGGTGAGCGTGCATGTATGCAAACGTGATACGTATGTATGTGCACGTTGAATCATTATTTCTCATAACCTTTTTATGAACACGAAAATACAGCGGATGCGATTAGACAATCTTAAGAGATGTGGTTAAATCCATGCATCTTGTAGCCGGCAAGCGGCGAAGATAGTAGACGCATACTATATCCAATGGAGTGGACCTGTACACTTGTGTTTTTTGGCTTGAAGTAGATTTTATCGTATCTCTCCACGTTGCGAATTTTGTTCGGAGTATAGCTAAGTGTGCAATCTCTACAGCGTGATCATATCATGGCCTCGTCAAACAGGAGAATTCAAATCGGCTCTGCTTGGTTTCAAACAAAGATTAACCTAAGACCGCAGCGTCGTGGTATCCATCACGTTACCGAGGAGATCCTGAGAAGAATTCCCGAGCTCTGCGAATTTTCAGTCGGACTTTGTCATATACAAAGTAAGTGGAATTTCTCCTTGTTAAAAAGGATAATTAGCGCAAAACAACGCCGTCACGTATATAAATATGCGAAGGAATTTTGTAATTTTTTGTATTTAATAATTGATTCTTAACGTCTCGAGCGAAAGTTCAATGTATCTTAATCTCATCTGTCTGATCTGTCTGAAAAATTCTAGCAATCATATCACACTGTATGTATTTACTCATCATGTGTATGCTTTAATATAACATATTAATAGTATGTATACAATACTATTTTATTATGTATAATGTTATGTACATATATTTAAAACAAATAGTTTTATATTTACTATTTGAAATTACTGTGTAGTAGAAAATTAAAAAATATAATGAGATTTGTTTAGAAAGAAAGTTTTTTGTCACGGATAACCTTTGATATTATAAAGGTTGATAAGATAAAAAGTAAAAATAGCAGATATGATGCATACTAATGTTAAATGTTATTACTGATTTTAATAAAACTAGTAAATTACCACTTATTGTTATTACCTTACAATTATTACAAATTTAAAATTATAAATTAAACAATCAAAACAATTTTTATATTGCTTCGTAAGCAGATAAAGAAATAAGATATATATAAAATTACTGTAAATGTTACAAATATTTTCTTATAGTATTAACAGTTTTTATTATTTTTTAGTTCTTCACACGTCAGCAAGTTTAGCACTAAATGAAAATTGGGATCCAGATGTTAGAGACGATGTAGAAATGATGCTTAATAAAATAGTTCCTGAAGGTTTGGCCTATAGACACAGTTGCGAAGGACCAGATGATATGGTGAGTTTATGAAATTTCTTTTATACTGTCTGAAATTAAATTGTACCGAGTATATAGATTTTTAATTATCTGTTATAATTTATAAATATTAATTTATAAATCTATCCAACATAGATTTTTAATTATCTGTTATAATTTATAAATATCACGTTAATGAAAATGACGTAATTAAAAGTAGTAAATTATCTTGAAATCAAACTTAAGCTTTTTTTTTTCTTTTTGATTATAAATATATTAACTTTATAAGAAATATATTCATGAATTTATACATGAATGCAATTATATTATTTATAGCCAGCACATGTAAAGGCATGTTTTCTGGGCTCTTCATTGAGTATTCCAATTACCGATGGGAAATTGACTTTGGGTACGTGGCAAGGAATTTGGTTGTGTGAACACCGTAATGATGCTGGAAGTCGCAAAGTAGCTATTACATTGACTGGTTGTCTCAGGGATCCTGCACGTAGTCCTTTGAGCCCTGTTAGTCCTATTGCTTCTACTAGCAGCTAGGACCACTCACACCCCCAAAGGCGTAGCAAACGTCAGCTGCGCATATCTACATCTAGTGATTCAAGCTAGCAGCTACTTAACTTTAGACAAATTCTAAGAGTATAATTTAGAAAAGAGTGTATGGATACTTCAAAAATATTTATAAATGTTGCATTTTCTTATCTCTACTTATTATTACGAAAATTTTAAGCACTTTTTTATAATGACATAACTTGTAGAGCCATCAAATTAACAATATTTATTAACATTCATATCCTTATCTTGCGTCTATGTTTTTTTTTTTTACACTTAGAAACTATACTTTAATATTTTAAAAATATACAATTCTTTTTATATGTAAACATTTAAAAAATATATAGTTTATGATTTTGTTTAGATTAAACAGAGATATTTCTCTTTAAACTGAGTTAACTATCCAAAAATGTGGTTCATTGAATATATAATGTTGTTCAGTACTTATAAACTGCCAAGGCAATTGTATAATATATGCATTCAGAAATAAATATAAACGATTACAAGTATCCTACACTCTTAATTGCTCTTAGAAAATTAATGTAATGCATTCCGATATAATGCGTCCAATACTCCGAATTTAATTACATAGCTTTATTTAAATAATTCTTTTGTAAAAAAAAAGATTAACAAGGAAAATGGCATTAATAATTGCTCAGCTGAGACCTTACATCACTTTTTATAATATGTAAGAAAATCTCAACTTGAGTATGTGCAATATGTTATAACTTTCTAACTCACTGCTTATCATAGGGTAGGCATTTTTAATGACGTTTCCAATGCATTTGGGGGTGTATATAGGTTACAATCAATACTTCTTTGCTGTGCTAATATATTTCTGCTAGAGATATCCACACAAGTTATACTAATAGTAACAATATGTGGGCAAGTCAGTATGAAAGTAGAACAGTTAAGAGAATCATCAAATTATGCAAATAATGATTTAGACTTACTACATTGTTAGGTATTTACTGATAAAAAATATTCTAGAAATCCTAATTAATCTAATTGAAACATGAAATGTCATCTAGAGATGTAGCACTGCAAAGAGTTGTAATAAAAATTACTTACAATGTTACTAAAAATAACCAAAGCTTATCATGGGAGCTTGTTAATGTATCTAATGTACTGTAAAGCAAGCAGTCGATGTTAGTTGTTAATCTTTCTCATATATAGCATAAATGGTCGTCCATTATGATTAATGAATATGCTTTAATGTGAAGTATCCAATGCAATTCATATAGCTTAAATATTAACAGCTCAAAAATATAACAC